ACTACTACTAACTACTATCACTCAATTGCACCAGCAGCACTGCGACCACGAGGAGCACCACCATTATTATTTTTCAAATAGCATACAATCTATTTGTTGTTGTCAGACGCAAGGACAAAGGCTGCGCAAAACAGATGTAAACCCAAATGAGGCACGATGAGTTCCAGAGCCTGCTTGCAGCTGGCCCCCTGTCTGTTGCTGACGGAGCAAGCTCAGAACCGGTGGACTGGGCAGCTTTGACGACGAGGTACAGACAGGTTGAGGCCGGGGAGACAGTCAGCTCAGAGCTCCGGGGCAGCGTGTGCTTGTCCTGGGTCTCTTGGTCGCCACTGGGCTGAAAAGTCCTAGCCGTCTGTCGCTGCAGTTGTCGTTTTATATTGCAGCTGCTGCAGGTATTCTGCCTGCAGTGGGGTCCCAGTGTTGGAAACGGCGGTGGAGTACCTCGTGAACTCAAGGTACAATCGACCGTTCGCGCCAGACTTGGTTGTCCTGTCGCCTGTTCCAGAACAGATGAAAGGGCAGGAGCTGGCCTTGAAACGGGTCAGCCCGGAGGAGGACCACTTTGCTCTGCTCCAGGCCACAGCGCGAGACTTGAAGAAGAACGCTTTCGTCGAGGAGTGGGCGACTGTCTGGCGGTCTGTGCCCTGCACGTTCTTGGTCCAGCTGAAGGACAACGGAGAGCACTTCTGGTTGGCCTTGAAGAGGCGTGAGAAGATTGGAGCGGACTTCGAGACAATGTACCCGTCCTTGGTGCAGCGGATCTACCAACTCGGTGTCTTCTGGATCCAGGCCAGCACGCGTGAAAAACGCAAGTTGAACGAGCTGGAGCTGCACGAGGCCTTCTCCAAGAACTTGGTCGTCAGTTCTGGTGAGAGAGTGACCGAGAAGTTCGTGAAGGTGGGCATGCAGATCTTCAAGAACATCCTCTCTGTGACTGCCTTGAAGGAGCTGCTCATCGCAGGAGACGAGACGTTCGGCAAAAAGAGCCCGCTCGACTACCTGTACAAGCTCCAGTCGTTTGTTCAGTGTTCGCACAACGACGCGGACAAGATCGAATGGTGCCTCTTAGCCATGTTCGACCTGCTGCTGAACAACAAAGTCAAACCCGGAGAACTCACCCAGGACAACTTGGCCGGGAAGAAGGGCGGCAAGGGGCACCTTGCAAAAAAGTGATCAAGACTGAAAGCTTGAACGCTAACGCCCTAAACACTGAACCTTCAAGTCCTAAATACACCTAAGATTTATTTGAGGCTCTTGCACATCTGGCTCTTCAAGATGACTGCAAAAGACAAGCTCTTCGGACTTATGGAAAGCAATGGTCTTGACAGCAAGGAAGTCACGGTGATCAGGAATGCGCTGAAAGACCCCATGACCTTTCGGAAAACTTCTGGCACCGGTCGTCCGTTCGACCTCGCCTTGCGCCAACAGGGTGTGAGCCTCACAGGACCCTCAATGATGTAAAATTATTTATCTGTTTAAGTTAAGAGCTGTTATTAAACATGACTGTTTAACATTCTGTATTCTAGGACGCCCCCCCTCCCCCCAACAAAAACGCAGCATAAATGACCTTGGGCTTAGGACCGCAGAACGTCCCGGGCACTGACTTGTCGTGGAGAGGGCAGCTGAGCGCAGAGGGCCTTCTGAACCTCAACTTCGCAGAGGATGTCCGGCCTGTTGCCTTCTAAACAATTTCAAGCTGTCGGGTCCCGGTTTTAATCTTTCAGAGTCAGCTGCCAGGACTTCCTCTACGGCTTGAAGTACGATGCTGCCATCAAGCAAGCACTGAAGAACCAGATGGGACTGGAGGAGTGCTTGCAGAGCGGTGACTGCAAGGAAGCGTGGGAGCAGTGTGCTGGCAAGACATCTGTCGTGCAAGACAGACCAGTGGAGCTGAACGACGATGAAGAGCACGCGTCGTACCCCATCGCAGTCTCTGTGGCTGCTCCAGGAAACTTGGCCAAGTACGTTCCTCCGGAGGAAGACGTTGACCTCGTGAAGGAGTCAGAGGAGCGAGCAGTGAAGGAAGTCGACAGCTACCTGACACTGCTCAGCACGACAAAGAAAGACAACGAGGAGAAGTCAATCACCGAGTTGGCAGCAGAGATCTCCGCCCTGACACTGTACAAGGTCAGTGGCGATCCAACGCACTCGGTGTTGTTCTGGTACGACGTAGAGGCAAGTGGTGAGCAGAAACAGTCGCCACGCAAGAGCCCGACACCGTTCCGCAAGGAGCACCTCGAAAAGATGCTAAAGGCCGTCGTCTGTTCGAGAGCAGGGGTTGCCCCTGACGACTTGAACGCTGACGATGACCTGCCGGCAATGCGGAGCTCAGATGTGTTGCTCAGCAGGTCAAATTTGGTGTGGTGTCAGAAATTTTGGTATAAGCTTTGGGGTTTATAAGGGTTTATCAGGATTTCAATGATGAATCTCGAGGTACCTTTTCATGGACGGTGGCCGGCCCAACCTCCACAACAACTTCGTCAGTTCTTTCAAGGGCAGTGGAGCCAACTCCCGGCTTCTGAACCTGGTGTTCACAGAGGAAAGCTTCTCAGACAATGATTTAATTAAATTATTATGTTACCTTTAAAAATTTAACGTAACGTACCGTATCTTTACTTGGGTTTTTTGTGAGGATTTTCTTGCGCATACCAAGGCGTGACAGCGCACCGGCAGGCCAGGTCTTCGTCAGGGCGGTCGGCTTCCGGGACCGTACCTCCACCTGAAACAGAAATTAAAAGAATCGTCTTAAAGCCTAGGTCTATTGAGTCATAAACCTTATAAGCAAATAAGTTATAGTAAGCCCTAAACCGTCGTTTCAAAACACAAAATATTAGCCAAGCACCGAGGCCATGTTGCTCAGACAGCTCGAGCAGGTCGTGGTTGCTCACGCAGATGCCGAGGTCCTGTCCTCCATCGTCGGGAACCGGCCCAACACGTGCTTCGCGGGAAGCTGTGCGGGGGACTGCTTGCCAAATGTCGCCAAGTCGGACCTGAAAAACTGCCCCCGCATGTCCCTGGATGTGAAGCTGCGTGATGTGGAAAATAAAACAGCTTTTCACATGAATGATTTGAGTGGCCAATCCTGTCATGTCATGTCATAACCGTTTTGTCAGCCAGAACTGTGCCCAATCGCGTCGTCTGTTTAACTTGTCGTGGTGTAATATATTTAATTTTTCAAGTTTTCAATTTAAAGCTTTTGACGCACTTAGTCATTGATTCAGGAAGCGACTCCTGGGCCCCGCGCGGGTGCAGGACAAAAGGACCAGGACCAAGGAGGCACAAGATGACAATGACGAGGGCGAGACCGTCATCAATTGGAGCTGCCACGATGATCGTGTTATCCGAGAGCTGATGCACCGATTTCGCCCCCGTCTGTGCGTAAACTTGACTGCCGCCTGTTCCTGCTTCCACTCCGTCCTGGTCTCGATGAAGATTCCGTGCATCGCGCTCTGTTCCTTGAGTGCAACCATTGCATTCTTAGGTCTCATGATCTTAGTCTAAGTCTAAGTCTAAGAAAGTCTTTCATTCCAGAGCAGGCTACACGAAAGACCACGCCACTTGGCTGCGGAAGCAGACCCAGCGCATGATCTTCCGCCAGTTTGTGAAGCCCGGCTCCAGCCTGTTCGTGCCAAAGCTCCACAAGATCCTCATGGGAAAAGCCGCTCACTTGACACCGTACTGTCTTAATTTAATTCGTCATTGTTAACAACAACAAAGGACGATGAGAACGATGGCGAAGAGGAGGCAAATCCCGATGGAGAGCTGCCAAACCAAAGCAAGAACAAGAAGAACAAGAAGCGCTGCTTGCCGCAACGTCTGTTCTTAGTTGATTTGAAAATTCATTAGTGGCGACAGCAGTTGAGGAAAGAGCCGCGCTGACAAGTCCAAGAAGCCCAAATCCAAAGCAAAGAGCAAAAGCAAGAAGCGCAAAGCAGCGGATGCGGAGCTCGACGGCGATGAGGAGGACGACGATGCTGTGCAAAGCGACGAGCATCTGGACGAGGCGGACAATGACGATGAAGAGACAGAGGCGGCTTGCAAATAACACCGCTTGCAGTAGGGTTTAGGGTCTGGGGTTTAGGCTACTTCAAACAATACTATTGGTCAGCAGTCAGTCTTCTTCTTAGTCTTGTTATTAATTAATTTTAGTACAACCTGAAATTGCAGCCAGAATCCTATCTCATCCTATTTCGGCAGGCCTCCCTGGGGGACGACGACTGAGCGACGATGATTTTAAGTTGACCTTGGTCCATCACCACCTCATCGAGTGATGTGACTGACCTGAGGTCACCATGGCCACAGGATGTCTTGATGCAGTGAGCATCGCCAATTTTCAAATCAACAGTTGCAGCTCGGTACGCGCCTGTCGCCTGTCTTGGCCTGGCAGAAAGTCACAATACAGTGTCAATAAGCAGGTTTGCCTAAAAGACCAACACAATATAGTCGTGAAGGTTTCCCCAAAAGCCAGTCGCCTGTTTTGTTGTGTGGCACGCGGTAAAACCCAACAGCAGCCGCAACAGTACAAACTCGGCTCGACAAGCCTGCAGCCTGCGCGAGAAAATATGATGGTCGTCAAGTTGCTTGAATTTGTTTGATGCCTTGCATGTTGCTTGAAGCAGTTGTTTTTGCCTGCAGCTCGCAGCAGTTCCTTGTGCGTCCGTTCTCTTTGTGCTGTGTCGCTTGTTCACTGACTACAGAAGCTTGGCCTGCAATGCTGTTTGAATTGTCGTTGCCCTAAAAATTCAATCTAAATGATGCCTCTGCAAGGACGGACCTGTGATGGGGCCAATGAAGATCCTGAAGCTTTCAGTCAACGATGCCTACTCGCAGCTTGGCGCTTCTCCTCCTTGTTGTAAGAAACCCAATGTGCCCATGCCAAGGTTGCAGTACTTGACGATGACGATCTCAAAAAATGGCTGGCAGCAGACGGACGCCAAGAAGGACCAGGACGAGGACATCGTGGTTTTGAAACAGAAGACGGAGGTGACGGAGACGTCCAAGAAGCCGGCGTCGCCTGTTCACTTGCCCGCGAAACCGTCTGTTCCGTGTCGGGCCTCGTCGTCTGTGTCACCCTCGCCAAGCTGGCTCGCGAACTCTCCTGAAGGCCAACGCCGTTACCCCAAGGCAAAGGCTGTGGCAAAGAGTAAAGCTAAATGGTTGAAGCTTGCATGTTGCGCACAGGCCAGACCCAAGGCGACAGGAAAAGCTGGGGCTAAAGCCAAGGCCAAGGGCAAAGCCAAAGCTGTGCCCAAGGCAAGGGCCAAAGCGTCGTATGCATGTTGTGCACTGTGTGGATGACAGTGACAGCGTCAAATCAAAGCTGTGGCCAAGGCTAAGGGCAAAGCCAAAGCGGCGAAGTGAGGGCAAAGACTGCAGCTTGAAGTGCGGTGGTGAAAAATGACGCCCTGGTCGTTTGCATGTCATGGAGTTTCAACAATACGATTTAGAAATACTGATTAACCCTGCCCCGTCCCCGCTTTGTCAGGCACAGTCTCAGAAAATCAAAAAGACTAAAAATGACTTCCTTAAGGGCCGGCCAG